TGTAATTTTTTTAGGGGTGAAGTAAAGCTGATGAGGGAAAGCAGTCTTTTGTCTTGCTGCCTTCGGCCTCTTTTGTCTCCTTGCTGTGACCAACATCCACGTACCGAGAACCAAGAACATCGTCCCTTTGATATCCTCCATTGTTCGTGTGTCTCCTGCGTTGACGTCGACGTCTCGCTTCATGTGTCATCGCTATAGTAATGACACTGCATTGAGGCCGGATGTACCTGGTACGAAAAACAAGTAGAGAGTCGAGCTGAGTTGAGTCAGTATCATGCAATGGAAAAACACAGTTAGTCTGACAGTAACATAAGATGTCAAGACAAAAGAGGCTAAATGTAATGAATAAATTAGTTCACAAATCACATGGTAGAATATATCCAGCCCCAGGCTCATTGTTATTCATGTTTGAGAAGGCCCATCACAAAAGTGACAGATGAGATTCCTCTAACAGTCATTATGTGTATCCATCAACAGCCACGCTTCCTGTCAAAATGTCCTTGAGCAGGACACTGAACCTCGACCTGCTCCTTCATTGGAAGTCTCTCTGGATGAGCACATCGTCTAAATGCTTCAAATGAGAAATTTAAATTCCTCTGTAGCCTTCGCCTTGTGTATTGGGTCGGGACCCTGGCCAGGCCCCCTGGGAAATTCATCTCGCAATCCTTTACTTGTTCCACACTCATCTCAGCATCAGCTATGAGGGCAGATCAGCATCATCCAAGGTCAGGGTGAGATAATGGTGAGGGTTAATGCTCTCACTGCAAATTCAAGCAGGTTTTATCAGTCCCCCTCATTGAATTATGAATAAAAGGAGGGTAGTCTAGGCCATAGTCTCCTTCATCACATAATGGGCTGGACGAGGGCTCACAGAGGACTCGATTAGAACTAATTATAATCCGAGATAAGGAGTTCAGATGTGATGCCATGGTCTCTGTTTGGTTTTGTTTCGCACTGCAAAGTCTTGGCCTGGAGGTGCACCCCACATATAAAAAAAGCCCTTAGCATACAGTTTTCACTCTTTTCTCCTTTTCAGTAGCGTTAAGGAAGGAAAAATCCTCTTGCACCATTCTTTCTGACAGTATCAGATCAGATTATGATCTTAATCATCTTGATCCAACTTTTCAACACATTTGGAGAAATTGAAAACTGTGATCTTTTCTAGAAAGTCAAATTAAGTTTCCAGGGTTTAAATTAAGTTTGACTGAGCGTGAGTTTGATTAAAAGGTTAATGCTTTTACTTGTGTTAATCCTTCTCCATCATGGTACTTGCATTGTCTTTTATACTTTAGTTCATCAGGGAGAGCCTCCAATGGACCATATGTTAGTGTGCAAGCAGCAGTTTTAATTGATTACCAAGGTGACGGACCAGTGGTGTGAACATATTCATCTAAAAAGTCTGTTGTATTGCGACGGACTGAACAGTAATAACTTATGAGCTGTCGCCACGTTAGCCTAAACGCGCTAATGTTAGCCTTTGTGAACATTGTACGTGGAGCTTTGCTACAACAGATGTCAGCTGTCGCAATTTGCAAACAATAACGGAAACATTTCAGGACATGAACATGTTGGCGACATGTCACATGTTGTCTCACTCACCCTGAACTCTGTGCACAGATCTGGATGTTTGTCTTTGAGCTGCTTAGATAAGTTGGAGGTGTTTCCTCCTGTGCCACCGTTTGCATACTGGCTTTTGGTTGCGGTGGACCTGGTGCTGCTGCCGCCATTTCACCTGTTGTTGTAATTGTTTACTGTGCCTGCCTTCTTTCTCTCTTTGAGTTTGATGTCAGACTAGAAGCTTGTAGTGTTGTTGTACTGCCCTCGTCAGACCTGGAAGAATCACATCTCCTGCACCCACAACATCTTCGGTACCACTACCTATGGTACTGTAGAAAAACTATTACTACTCTAGAAAAATATTGTCGCATTCTCTTAATTTTAGCATCAACTTGGTCCTGGATTGTCGATTCTCATGACAGCCTTACGAGGGCGTCATCATTATGAATATTTTAGAAAAAAAAATGCTGTGCCATACAGCTACACATGGACTATCAGTAGCAGATTCTACAGACATCTGCTAATGATCAGTGTGAGCACAGACGGGACAGAAACTGAAAGTCTGCTCACTGATTAATCTGCACTGTTTGTTTTGACAGTACATCAGCCTCACATCTCCAGACAGCTCTTCGCTGGTGTCAGTTCGCTCCCCGGCAGGGGAAAGACCGAGTAAAGCTGAATCCACACCCTGTTCACTCCCCTTACACAGTCTCATATCTTGTAGCCAGAGGGAATCTCTCTTCAACAAACACAAACTGAGCTCAGATCAGTGTGCAGTCTTTTTCAGCCGGTCCCTCCTGCAGGTGCCAGAGTCATCTGACCGTCCTGAGTCACTACAGTCCGGAAGCTGTGGCAGCTCCACATAGACTAATTATTCACGTCACCATTTATGAGACTGTTGTGACTCAGAGTAGCTCATATAGCAGCTGTCATATATTTTCCTTTTCAACTTAAATCAACCTTTTTGTGCACGTCATAATAACTGGATTTCCACAAAGCAGAGGTTTTACCCATCATGCAGTTCTAACAGAGCCACTCACAATAAGTAACCCCTACAGACACACAACATGTAGCTCTGATGTAACATGTTTACTGAGAAAAAGCATCTTGGGATTTGAAGAACTGATATTGGATCATTCAAATAAAACTTTAAAACTACATTTGAAATTTGTTTTTGTTGACTGAACAGCTTAAAAAAATGAGAGAGAGAGAGAGAGAGTGTTGATTGTCTGTTAATTGTCTGCTTATTGATCCTTACCAACCACTAATTACTTCAGTAGACCTATAATATAATGTTTACGATGATTACTGTTCTTGTTCTTTTTACTTATTTTACTTTATAGATTATATGTGTATATATATACAGTATATATATATATATATATATATATATATATATATATATATATGTGTGTGAGTTTATATTTCCTGATGTCATTATTATATTGTCTGTAACTTTTTGGCAATATTGTCCACCTGATATTCATGCCAATAAAGTGTATTGAATTGAATTGAATTGAATTGAATTGAATTGAGAGAGAGACAGAGGCAGCCACAGAGTGAATGAGAGAGAGGGAGAAGAAGGCAAGTGGATGAGATAAATAAAACTGTTTCTTGGTTCTGCCAAAGCAGAAATAAATAACCATCAAACACTCAGCAGATTGTTTACTGTACACTATATATACAAAGAACAACAGGGTCACTATCGGTTATTATTTCCTGCTGTTGTTGTTGCTGTTCCTCAGCCCCGGCGACAGTCAGGACCGGAGGCAATATGTTTTCGGGTTGTCTGTATGTCCCATTCTTGCGAATGCGATATCTCAGTAATGCCTGGAGGGAACTTCTTCAAATTTAGCACAAACATTCACTTGGAGTCACAGATGAACTTTAGCTTTGGTGGTCAAAGGTCACTGTGAACCCACAAAATACATTTTTGTCCATAATTCACAAATTCACACTTTAATTGAGACAGAAATTTCACTCAAATGTCTAATAGTATAAAAAGATGAAGTAATGACATGCAAAAGGTCAAAGGTCAATTTCACTGTTACATCATAATGTTCTCCAAAAACACTTCTGGCTATTTTTCAACGTTGTAACTCAGGAAAGAGAGACTGTGGCCATATTTTACTGCAACTTGACTGATTGTTGGAGGACTGGATTTCGAGGGGGTAATTCTAGTTTTGATTTGCTCTTTTCATTTACTTTCTTTGTGGATATTTTTGTTGAAAAGGCCTTTTAGTCTCCTTTTATCATCAGGAGCAATTTTGGGTTGAATGTTTTGCTCAAGGGGTTTTTTTCCTGGCTCAAAATGAGGTGGAGGTGTGACCCTGATTGTGTACACACATGTGCATGTGTACCGCCTCTTCAGCCGACTCAAGAGAACTGTTTTTACAGGCAACTCATTCCAGGAGTTCTAGTGAATCCTGAAGAATTTCCAAAAGTACAATAAACTATAACAATTTAGAAGGTTTTTCACAATTTCATGACATTTAAAGACTAAATTAAATCAACAGTCAATCAAGAATGAAAATAATCTGTTTATTCAGCCTGACAACAAACCTATGTAGTGTGTGTGTATGTGTATTATGTTTGATGCTTTTTTAATGCATTCTTCCAAAATTCAGATTATTTTACAGTGAGGAAACAAAGGTTTTTTTTTACTGTGACAGTGTTTTTTCTGTTAATGTCTTTCTCTAAAAACATCTGAAATACACATGATTTTAAAATCATGTAAGCATTGGCTGCATTAACACACTAATAGCTTGGCAACTAAATACAACTAAATAAAAAAAAAAAACCTTATCATCCCACTTTATTCTTTTCATGTAGGAATAAGTTTGTGATGAATGGTACAAACCTATCTTGATTAATGGACCTCTGATACCAGCGTGGTGTTGAATCCATTGAGAAAATATCACCATGGAACAATATCTGGAACTTGAACCACTGTAAAGTTTCCCTCTTCTTGGGTTTACCTTTATCAGGTTGCTGCTGATATTGTGTTGGCTGAAGGGGGAATTGTCACAGCGTAATACCAATTATGATAAACTAGGTGAAAATTGCATATCTCGCTGTTATTCCTCACAGAGGGATTAACTGCTGGAAGATCTTAAGCAGGGTGTGATTTGATGTCAGGAATCCGACATTCTCTCTCAAAGCAATCACGTTCTCTTCATTTGAAATTCATGGCGCAGTGGAAAATGGATTGAGATTCTGTTCAGCATTATTAGACTATCACTTCATCCAGGAAATGTAAAAGGTAATTTACTTTTGAGACTCCCACAGTAAATCCAGAGTGATGTGTTGCCAATGATTGTTTTAGATAAGGTTGACCCCCTCCTCCATATGGTTGGGGTTTATGAGAAAATGAGTGACACTGACTGCACTGTCTCCTGCTTCATTCCGCACCGTGCTGAATCTGTGTCTCTCTTGTCTGTCAGGTTGAACATCCTGTTGGGTGGCATGACGCCTCTGTATTTCCACGTCGTCAATGTGTGTTTGCACTGCGCCGTAACCTGCCTGCTCATGCACACGTGTGAGCGCTGCGTGTTCGAAGACTCGCGCCTGGCTTTCATCACGGCGCTCCTCTTTGCCGTGCACCCTGTCCACACCGAGGCCGTGAGTACACAACACACACAGACTGTCACAGACTGAGAGTGTAACAAAAGAGGGAGCCCACACAAGAGTTTTGACTTATCAGTGAGATTTATTGAGAATGACCAGTGCAGCCCAGTAGAAACAGTTTCTATCAAAACAAGTCAAAAACAAAAAAAGTTAAATAAAATCAACTGACCCCATCTTACCAGCTCTAGCCCGTCACCCAGCAACCTTGGATCCTTAGTAGCACTTATAGATAGATAGATGGATAGATACTTTTTTTTTTATCCCCTAGGGGAAATTCGCTTATTCAAATTCTGGTGCAGAATTAGATTAGAATATCTCTTACATGTCCAGTAAATATGAGGCTACAGCTAGCAGGGGTTTTTACAGCAGTTATAAACTGAACTATTTCTTGGCTGGGGCCAATAACCTCCTGGAGGCTTTGCTGGTTCGCTTGGCTACTGGTCCCAGCCAAGAAATAGCCTCGCACCAGATCCCTCATGAAATGGCAAATTCTTATTCTATGTTTTTTTGTTTTAAAAGATTAAACAAACAAGATATTGGGGCGCCCTGGTGGCTCACCTGGTAGAGCGCATTCCACTTAGGCTTAGTCCGTACCGCAGCGGCCTGCGTTTGAATGCAGCCCAGGCCCACTGCTGCACGTCATTCCCAAATGACAAAATGCCCCAAAAAAATAACAAAACAAATTATAACGTCTAAGCTAACTGACTGCTGGCTGAAGCCTCATATTTAATGGACAGATACAAAAATGGTATTGAATCTGGTAACTCCATACCAGATCAAGAATAAATGTATTTTCCAAATTATGAAACCATTCCCTTTAAGGCGGAGCCAATGGGGCGCGGTGAATTGGCAAATGAGCTGTAATGACAACTTGTTTATAGATGCATAGGAGAAAACATGACATTTTCTCGACACCTTTACATGATCAATATGCAGATTATATGGTTTGAAAACAGTACCCCCCTCAAAATGCTGATGTGTGCTTTTTTTATTTTTTATTTTTATTTTTTAAGAAATGCAGGTTAATGAGGAATCATGGTCGGTGTAAGCACTAACGTTTGACCCCTGACCCTCACTTTGAAAAAGCTCAGTTCAAAATGAGCTCCAAAGCTCATCACAAATGTCTGACACCCTCCAGCCTGCAGCTAGACAGAACATGCCGCTTCACTGTGCTCAGTATTCCAGCTACTGAATGCCAACAAACCTGGAATTAACCTGAAAGTGTTGAACCAAAGTAGCACCCTGAGGTTCCTCTAAACCACAGGTTTGATAGAGTGAGCCCCCCACAGTTAATGCTAATTGATTCTGTCACTCCTATAGTTTTTCTCTCTGCTAATTGGGGGATAGTAATGCTCTAAGTTTTGGTATCATACCTCCCACAATGCTCTGGGGCGATGTAAACGGGCAGTATCAGGTTGCAGTGGATATAGTGACTTATGCTGTGAGCTACAACTTGAGCAAATGAACTTGTCAAATTGTCCCCATTGAAAGTAGCTGAATTAGCTGTTAGCATCTCCTGTTTGTCACTGGAGGACTTGCTCACATAAGTTCTGAAGGTGTGTCTTTTTTTTCTCTCGAAGTGGGTTTATGGATCTAAGGTAATCAGAGTGTAAGTCACACTGAATCATAGAATAAGTATTTCATGCGTGTGTTCAGATTTGACACTGGGGAGGAGGATTTGACGCAATTCGGAGCAGTGGGGTTAAAGTACCTTAATTGCCCCTTTGTGTTGTGCGTTAAAGCCACTGTGGCTGCTGGTGAGGGGGCCAAACTACAAAAAGTAACTTCCCCTTGTTTTCAGAACACCATTGTGCACCTGTCACTCTCACTTCACGTATCATTGCCTCCCTCCATGCCCCCACCTTCAAGTCTCTGCTTTGAACAAAGGCTACAGAGCTATAAAAATCAAAGCATGAGCTGTAGCAGCTACTAGACCAAGATCCCAGGTTGAGGACAACAACATTTTCTTGTTCCTACCCATTTACCACAACTCTCGGCTTCCAGCCTACAGTCCTCTGAGACTGACCGGTACAGCCCAGTAACACTAGTATAAAGGAAATCACATATAACACACCATGTCGCACTTTACCTTTGCACATATTAAAGCTTGTGCCTGCTACTGCTAACTTCTGTTCTTAACTTGTGCTTACGCCGCTCCTCTCTGAATGGAAAGCCTTGGAGTGTGGTGAGGTGGAACATCTGGCCAGGTCTCATCACTTCAGTTCAGCTTGGGTCAGTGGAAATCACTAGAAAACCCTTTTTGCCTCCGTAATTACATTCAGTATTTATCCTTTAGCCTACGAGGTTGGCTGATTGGTTGAAAGCATTGCGGAGCGATGATGGCGTAAAAGGATCAGCCAGGTGGGGAAGTTGATTTAGAATTTATCCGGAGCCCAAACACAGAGCACAGTCCAGCTGGGTCTGCTGGTTTAGTCCCAGCTGAGTATCCAGTGCTGCTGCTGCTTCCACTACCTCATCCCTGCTGAACAGTTCCTCTCCTGTGACTGTGAGGAGTTAGAAAGAGCAGAAATACCTCTCTTCCTCACGCATCTAAAGGCTTCAGATGAATCATCTCTCATCTGTTTAGAGAACACGTCCATTCATTATAAAAAAAATCTCCTCATATTGTGCAGGAAAACCTATTGTAATCACATACGATCAGGGTGGTGAAGATTATTTATATACATCATCAAACCAATAAAACAGTCAGAGATACAGCTTCATTGATATATGACCACAGATCTGACCCCAAGTCTGTGAGAAACTTGATAAAAATTGACACAGCTGTCAAAAAAAAAAAATTTTCGCACCTTGCTATTAATTAAAGGCACATGGGCACCACAGTTATTAAGCTGTCAGCTGTTGTAAGGACATGCATCACAATAGTCTGATAGACCCTGCAGGCAGGGGACCAGTAGGGGTAACAGAGCTCAGCTGGCAGCATTTTAGTGAAACATGTTCTCTCCTCAGTTTATTATGCAGATTCATTTTAAACAGAGATTACATTAGATTTAGTTTATAAGTCTAAAATGTTTTTTATCAGTACAGATGTAGCTGAAGACGTTCAAAAGCTTTTTAATGTTTCATTTCTCATTGCAGTACTTGCAGTACATAAAGTACATGGTATGCTGATGCATCTTTTAGCACCAAACCAAACTGGATTTGATTAAACGACAGTGTTCAGTGGCGTCTGAATCAGCGTCTCATCGGGCTCATGGAGTCACATTTCATAGCACAAGGAGACGGCAGGTATTTCTCTGCACCAGCCAGGATTAAGCAACATTTGAATCAAAATCTGATGATGGTGGGTTGTTTGGTTACTGCCAGTCAAATCTGATCTGAGCCACACCCACACAGTCCTGATGAGGCAGTATAACTGAGTTTTATTTTTAATAAATCATTTTATTACTTATTTAGTCTTGAATATTTAACCCTCTGAGACCCACATTAAGACTTTTCCATTTTTGCACACCATGTATGATCAAATGTTTCACTGATTCAGAATAAGCACAACCTCAGTCAGTCACCCAGTAGTAGGGGATTGTAGCCCATAACAAAAGAAAACAAAAATTGAATTGAATTTTGTTTATTTTACATATAAAAGCTCTGCTAACCATAAAAACAAAAGAAAACATCAAAGCAGAAAGTCGCACACATCTGTTTGGATTGTGCTAGAGGTGATTTGAAGTTTCTGTCAATCTGATCATGAGTTGCGCTCATTTTTGTGGGGGCAGTATTTATGGGCGTATTTTTTCCTCCTTGTCTCCAAAGCCTCAACTGCACATAAATATCTTACTAATTAAAACTAATAGCCACATTTTAGGGCTTTAAAACTCGTGTGTGTATGCTGCTCCTTCACAGTTAAAGCCTCTTTTTAACTGTCACCTTATCTTTTTGTCCGATTCCTGATGACTGTGAGAGTTTCACTGTGAAGCAGTTGCAGACTCATGATGTGGAAGGACTTCAACACAGTGCGAGACGGATGAGATGAGACTTAGAATCTCACTAGTTTCAACATCGCGGCCTCATTTGCTCCTAGGAAGGATCCTGTCCTCTGCCCCTCATGCCAGCAGTTGTGCACCCTGCAGAAGTGCCTCTGAGTAAGAGAGCAGGTCCCACAGGATCAGTACAGTCACATCATTATTTAACTCACTCCTGCTTTCAGTCCTCTGACTCCTTTGTGCCCCTGTGTGTCAGCCCAATTCAGCTCTCACACTCCCTTTGCCATTTAGAACCACTGCTCTACTTTCCACGTGACTCCCAAAGGGCAAAGTTTTCCCTCATCTGACTCGGAGAAAGAGGCAAGTCAAGTTGTGCAAGTTGTGGAATCTATGCAAAAAAGCCTCAGAGGAAGCAGAGCAGATTATTATTCCCCTCTCCAACAGGTGAGGTGACAATAAAGGGATCAGATGTTCAGTACACAAGCACAGTAGAGAAGGAGGGAGGGTGGGGGATGAATGGAGCAGAGGAGTATGTGCAGCATGGAGAAAGACGAGAGCGATGAAAAAGAAATGCATGAGATTTGGTGGAGGAGGGCGATGAAAGGAGACGAGAAGCGGGGAGGGAGAGGGAGCGACAGAGAGATGAATGGAGAGCAGCAGGGGTTGTAGCAGGACAGGCCTCCTGCCAGGGCGCTCCCCTGACTCCCTGTACAGAGACGGAGAGACGCGAGGAGGAGGAGGAGGAGGAGGAAGAGAGGGAAAAGGCAAGATTCAGAGGAGAGGGAGAGCAAGCAAGCTGGGAGCGAGGGAAGTAAGACGACAAGACAGAAAAGAAAGTGAGAGCAGGAAAGCGTGACGGAGTCAGAAATAAGGTCTCAAAGTCTCCAGGCCAGTGTAGGAGAGAGTTTGATTTCCCTGCTCATCTCCCAGCATGCCAATCAAACTGCCAGAACAGGCAGCAGCGCTTGGACTGGATGTGACGGGAAGAGAGGAGGGGGAGCTGGCTCTGCACGGACACCAAAACAAATCAAGTTTGCTGGGTTTGGGTTGAAA